ACAAAACTCCGTTCACTCGTCCAGTTACGCTCTCATACCACTTCAAAGAAGGATTGAGAAAATAATTTAGATCGTGGCAGACCTGTTAGGTGACTCTCTCGCTGACAGGGGCATCTCAGAGTACAAAGAATTACACGGGCTCCCGCGTGAGTAGGAAGCCACATTCTGTACTGATCATACCTGGCGCCAGGCTGGGCAAAATATGAAGACCGACAGTGACTCTCTCCCGCGTGCCAACAGTTCTCAGACCAGTGTCAGTCTTGTTTCATACGCTACGCCATGCAATGCCCCTCTCGTTTTTGTGGTTGCTGTGAAGATCATAATTCGAGAGACCTGAGGATAGTAGTGTGGGGAAGTCCCGAGACACAGCCCTCTGTGCATGTCAGTCTCTGTGTTTAGCTCTGTCTCTCACCAATCTGCTCTCATGGGGAAGCCCTTGGGGTGGAGTCAGTAATGGACATCAGCAGGATAGAAAGAAGGGATGCAGAGCCGTCCTTTTCAATGAGGCCAAGTTCCCATATAGGCCCTCACCCCACCTAAGAAAACCAAAGATAATCATCCACAGAGAGAAACAGGAGGGAGGGAGGGAGGGAGGGAGGGAGGACAAGATGAGCCGCAGGGAAAAGTCATTCAGAAGAGGAAAACACCGTGGGTGCCTCGGCGGCTGCGCTGTGAGTGCTGTAATTTACGTAATCACAGCCAGACGGACGCTGCTGCACTGGGCTGAGAGACATGGCCCAGCCATACTGGGCCGGAGGGAGCCCCCTCTGTGGGGCAGTGAGGAAAGAGGAGACCCTCACTTCACAGTAGGAAATTCACAGTGCCCAGAACTAGAAGCTCAGGATGTAGCCAGAACAGGGAATTTGGAAGTGAGATGAGGGCCAGAGTGACCGACAGAGGCAGCCCGAGCGGCGGCAGGGGCAGGAGCCAGGCCCACGTTTGCTTTAACAAGTCTGTGGAAGCTGTTAAACTATGCCAGTAACAACTCTGATTTAAAAAAAAAATTTTGACAGCCTGGCACACGTGCAGGGACGTCCTTTGCCGCAAGCGAGCGCTGTGGCGACCCCGGGTGTTTGCGAAGTGATTGAAAAAGAAGGCACGTCTTAGGGCACCGTGGTCCCGAGCCGCGGCGCTGAGTCTTTCCTGGCCGTCTAGGTGCGCCGAGGAGGTGAAGAGCCCAGGAGAGGACGCCGGCAAAGCCAAGGTGCACTACAACGTCGAGTTCACCTTCGACACGGACGCGCGCGTGGCCATCACCATCTATTACCAGGCCACCGAAGAGTTCCAGAATGGCATTGCCAGGTGAGAGCAGGAGGCCAGCGGAGCCACTGCTTTCCCCGAGGTCGGGTCCAGGTGTGAGGGAGAAGGCGTCCCACGTGCAGGTGCCACCTGCTTCCTGAACTTGGATCTCCTTCTAGAAAGCCCCGCCCTTTCCCTACAGACCGTGCCAGCCGTGCCTCTTGGTGCACTGGCAGATGGCGGCACAGCTCTTGGCTCCCTAAGGTGCCTCTCTGTGGGGGCGTGGCCTGAGCAGGTAAGATTCTCCGCATCACCAAGCAGGAGCGAGGGAAGCGGGTTAGACAGGAGGCCTCTCGGCGATGCCGGAGTCCGCGGACAACAGAACAGGCGCGAGGTGGCGGAACGTTCCGGCGTCCGGGCTGGGTCTCAGCCTCTGTGTCGCCACCCACTTTTCTCAACAGCTACGTTCCCAAAGACAGCCGGCTGCAGTCGGAGACCGTGCACTACAAGCGAGGGGTGTGCCAGCAGTTCTGCCTGCCCTCTCACACCGTGGACCCCTCAGAGTGGGCCGAGGAGGAGGTGAGCTGTCCCTGTGAGGGCCCCACACGAGGACGCCAAAGGGCTGGGGACCCCGCTGAAGGCAGGGGAGCTGTCCAGACACTCCGAGGTGGGCTCACCATTCAGCCCTGTGGCCTCCTCGCGCATCCAGGATGTGCCCAGCCTCGTGGATATTTTTTGTTCTAGAGGACTTTGAAAAAGCCTTGCTCAAGGAAAGGAGCCCACAGTGCAGACAGTGTTAAGTCTATGAGACTTTGAACAGGCCTGGGTCCCTGCGGGGGGAGGGGTGAGGAGCAGGCATGAGGCACACCCTTCTGCACAGTGCCTACCTCACCCCCTGCGCGTCGCGGCACCGTCTCCACGGGCTACGCCCTCTCCCCCTCTCTTGCCCTGCAGCTCGGCTTTGATCTGGACCGCGAGGTTTACCCGCTGGTGGTGCACGCCGTGGTGGACGAAGGAGACGGTAGGGGCGATTTCTGTCCTCCGCTGCCCTTCCGTGACGCAGCCCTGGCAGCGGCCAAGGCCCCCGCCGTGCCCCGCCCGGCTGAGATCTGCAGCTCCTTGGGCTGACGTGCCAAGTGCTGGCTTGCATGGCGACGGCCGCCGTGGTGCCCTGGACGGATCGCAGGGCACCGGGAAGGGAGTGGGCGCTGGGGGTGCGCCTGGCCCTCTTCACGCGGTGCCTTCGTTTCTTTCAGAGTATTTTGGCCATTGCCACGTGCTGCTGGGCACTTTTGAAAAGGTGAGCGGCTCCGTCACTCTGGCGCCTTCCTCCGTGCCTCGTGGGCGGCCCCCTTCCTCCGTGCCTCGCGGGCGGCGCCTTCCTCCGTGCCTCGTGGGCGGCCCCTTCCTTCATGCCTCGTGGGCGGCGCCCCCAGCTCAGCGGCGCGGTGCGGCGTGGGAGGCTGTGATGGCCAAAGGGCTCCACTCCCGGGCTCCCTTGGGTCGGCACCGCCAACCTGCTGCTTGACTTTCAGCCCCAAGGCCTCCGCCTGCCTCCTCATCTTAAAATGGGAGGTGGGGAGAGGGAGGGGCATGTTGTGAGGCCTCCCATATCAGAGTGCCCGGGCCTAGTCCCAGCTGCTTTGTGCCCGAGGCAGCTTCCTGCTGATGTGCACTATGGGCCCAGCAGATGATGGCCCATTGACTGGGTCCCGGCCACCCTCGTGGGAGACCCTGATTTGAGTGCCAGACCGGCTCCTAGCTTCAGCCTGGCTCAGCCTGGCTCAGCCATGGCTGTTGCAGGCGTCTGGGGAATGAACCAGCAGACAAGATGAGAGGTCTCTGCCTCTGCTGCTCTGCCCTTCAAATAAAAAGATGAAAATAAATACGGAACCATGTCTGGCACCTCATAGAAAGCATGAGACTGGACAGTCGTGAGGCCCAACAGCGCTCGGGTTCTGGGGCTCCACCGTGTGAGTGCCGAGGGCACAGGTGACTCGGCCGTGGGCCGTAACCGTCCTGTTCTCATTCCAGCACGCAGATGGGACCTTCTGTGTCAAGCCCCTGAAGCAGAAGCAAGTAGTAAGTATCGGAGGACACTCCTGCCTTCCCAGTCTTTCTCCATCAAAGCTTGGGCGGCCGGGGGCGGGGCGGGGGATTCACTGATTCCTGGTGTCTCTGGCGGCCAGAGCTGCCGGGCCTGAGGCAGCCGTTAGCAAAGGGCTGAGAAGCAGAACAAGATCTGTGTCCTGACGTTAGGTTAGGGAGAGATCTTTTTACTGAACGTGCCGGGGTGAGAACATTTCAAGGCAGCCGACTCGGGGCTGATCAGAGCGAGCTCTCTGCCCAGTGCACCCCCTTTCCTTTACTAAGATGCAAACCGTGCTGGCCCCCGCCCCCTTCCAGGGTGATCAGCAAGGTCGTCTGCCGGTCGTCCCCTCCCCACCGTGTGCCAGCACGTCCCCTCTTGCAGGATGAGGGTGACAGAGGTGCCTGTGGCCCTGGCATGGTCACCCCACGGAGCTGTGGAGCAGGGGCAGAGGAGCCCCCTGCGATGGGGAGACACCTGAAATCCTGCTTCATTCATCGTGTCAAGCACTCGCCCCGCTCTTAAAGAGGCCAAGGTGGCCAATACTACCTTAGTATGGATTGGTAGACAGTGTCCTTCCACTATGAAAACCATGTGAAGACAAGTTGTCAGGGAGTCGGGGCAGAGCAGGTGAAGCTGCCACCTGTGATGCCAGCATCCCATGGACGCCGGCCGGTCCACGTCCCGGCTGCTTCACTTGCGATCCAGCTACCTACTAATAACCTGAGAAAAACAGCAGGAGATGCCCAAGTGCTTGGGCCCCTGCATCCAGGTAGGAAACCAGAAGAAGCTCCTGGCTCCTGGCTTTGGCCTGGCCAAGCCCTGGCAGTTATGGCCATCTGGGGAGTGAACCAGCAGATAGAGGACTCTCTCTCTCTCTCTCTCTCTCTCTCTCTCTCTCCTGTGTGTGTGTCTGTAACTCTGACTTTCAAATAAACAAATAAATCTTTACTAAAAAGTTTAGGCTGGGGCTGACGCTGTGGCTCACTTGGTTAATCCTCCACCTGTGGCGCCGGCATCCCATATGAGCGCCGGTTCTAGTCCCGGTTGCTCCTCTTCCAGTCCAGCTCTCTGCTGTGGCCCGGGAGTGCAGTAGAGGATGGCCCAAGTGCTTGGGCCCTGCACCTGCATGGGAGACCAGGAGGAGGCACCTGGTTCCTGGCTTCGGATTGGCGTACCTCCAGCCGTAGTGGCCATTTGGGGGATGAACCAATGGAAGGGAGACCTTTCTCTCTGTCTCTCTCTCTCACTGTCTAACTCTATCTGTCAAATAAAAAATATGTATTTATCGTTAAAAAAAAAGTTTAGGATGTAACCTGCTAAAAAAAAAAAAGAAAAACCACACACACACAAGTGGTTTTGTTGTTGTTGTTGTTGTTGTTGTTGTTTTGACAGGCAGAGTGGACAGTGAGAGAGAGAGACAGAAAGAAAGGTCTTCCTTTACCGTTGGTTCACCCTCCAATGGCCGCTGCGACCGGCGCGCTGCAGCCGGCGCATTGCGCTGATCCGATGGCAGGAGCCAGGTGCTTCTCCCGGTCTCCCATGGGGTGCAGGGCCCAAGCACTTGGGCCATCCTCCACTGCACTCCCGGGCCACAGCAGAGAGCTGGCCTGGATGAGGAGCAGCCGGGACAGAATCCAGTGTGCCGGCGCCGCAGGCAGAGGATTAGCCTAGTGAGCCAGGGCGCCAGCCCACACAAGTTTTTAAGAGAAGCAGAGGCTGCAGATGGGCACTCCCTGGGCCGGCCTGAGTTACGTCCTGGGGAAAGAGGCCTGGGCAGGATGGAAGGCTGGGGTAGCCCTAGTAGTCAGCTGTTTGTTACTATAACAAGTACCTGAGAACAGCGATTTATAGGACGCACAGTTGTAGGGGTTCAGAGTCCAAACAGCAGAGCCCACCCTGGCTGTGTCACGATGGTGGGAGCGCGTGTGCTTCAATCTTCCTCTGCCTTAATTCTGATAACTCCACCAGGGTTCACTTATGGGGGCTCCACCCTAATGGCCCCAGCCAACACATCAAAATTGGAATAAGTTTCCAGTCTCAGTGCCGTTGGCCAAGGCTTTGGGGACTTTGAGCTCCCGAGCCGGGGAGAAGGGCACGAGTGTCCAGAGCCCTGGCGCTAACCTTGCCCCAGCAGCCAGCCTTGCAGCTGCAGGTCGGAGGAGAGGGAAGGCCGGGAGCAGAGCTGAAGGGCGGGCGGGCAGCTCAGGGAAGCAAGCCCGGCGCAGGGAGCGTGCGTGGGGCCGGGAGCCGTTGGCTGAGCAGCGAGAGGGCTCGCTTGCAGCGGACGCTGTCCCAGCTGTCGGTGGCGCTGAGCTGCAGTGGACAGTGACTGTCGCATTCGTGAGGTGCTCCGTTCCCCCGGGGTGCGATGGTGGGGGAATTAAACTCTCTCCCTCTCAAGCAGGAAACGTCAGTGGATAAAAGCATCCTTTGCTGGTCCGGGCCTGTGGGTGTTTCCCACTGAGAATCCGCGGTCCTCGGTCCCCGCGGCAGGGGCGGCTCCCCTGCCATCTCTGGGCAGCCTGCCTGTCCTTGACGCCCTTTTCTGCTCCCAGGTGGACGGGGTCAGCTACCTCCTCCAGGAGATCTACGGCATCGAGAACAAGTACAACACCCAGGACTCCAAGGTGCGCGTCATCCGCCGGACGCAGGGGGGAGTCCCCGAGGGAGCCAGGGTCGGGATTTGGGGGCCAACCTCTGGAATCCGTGGGGGCCCCGAGGCGTATTGTCTTGTTCCTCATTCCCAGTTACGCTCACGTGACCTTGGAGATGGCGAAAGGGGAGGTGTGGGAGTCTGCCTGGGGCTCTCCTCAACCCGGTGTCCTCCGAACGCTGCCCTCTTACCTGGGCCCCAGTGCTGGCCCAGGCGCCTTCTGTCCGAAATCAGAGGCTCAGGCCAGGGCACACGCGCCACCCTCCCCTGCAGGTGGGCAGCTCCCAGCGGCACTGGGCGCAGCGTGGACAGCTCCTGGCACGCGAGCAAGTCCAGCTTCCTTCTCCTTGCCTGCCTCAGCCTTGGGGGCAAAGCAGGGGACCCCAAAGGCGCCGCCTCAGGTCTGTCTCCCCCGCCGCCAGGTGGCCGAGGACGAAGTGAGTGACAACAGTGCCGAGTGCGTGGTGTGCCTCTCGGACGTCCGGGACACCTTGATTCTGCCCTGTCGCCACCTCTGCCTCTGCAACACCTGCGCGGACACCCTGCGCTACCAGGCCAACAACTGCCCCATCTGCCGCCTGCGTACGCACGCCCGGGGGGGCCGGGGGCCGGGCAGGGGAGGGCGGGTGTGAGGAAGGACGCTCCCAGAACGCTGCTGCCTGGCTGGCAAGCTGGGGCGACTGGGCTTCCGGTGTGGGTGCTTGTCCACCCTTGGCGCTGTAGCGGGCCGCCCTCACGGCTTCTCCTCTTCCTCACAGCCTTCCGGGCACTGCTTCAGATCCGAGCCATGAGGAAAAAATTGGGCCCCCTGTCCCCAACCAGCTTTAACCCCATCATCTCATCGCAGACGTCCGACTCTGAGGAGCACTCGGTAAGTGGCTCGGAGCCGGCCCCTCTGGCGCAGGTGCCCGGAGCGTGGCTACAAGGAAGGGAGCCCGCGTGTGCCAGGGCCGCCCGGCTGAGGTCACCCCGTGTCCTCCCTGGTGTGCGGTTAATCTGTACGGATCCTGGAGCCGTCTGCTTGCGGCTTCACTCGGTGGGCTCGGGCTCTGGAACTTCCTCCGTTAGAAACGAGGGGCGTGCTGTTTGGGACAGAACACGGCTGCCTGTCTCCGTGAGTCCTCGGAGAGGTCGCTTCTCCTGTTCGTGGCCTCAGTGCCCAGGAGCTGAGTAGGCAAAGTAGTGAAGTAGTGGCCCTCAGTTTCGGGGTGTCTGTGCGAGGATGAGGGTGAACCTCGGACTTGGCAGATTAGCCCGCTACCAGGAGAGACCTGCACTTCACACTTTGGTGAATGGCAGTGCGATGGTTAGCCACCCAGGGAGGAGAACTCGGTTAGCAGGCAACAGATCAGCTCCAGGCGGAGTACTAGTTACCTGTATTAAAAGCACAGCAAACCAGACCAAACATCAGAAACCTACAAAGACAATGTAGGTGGCTGTTGATTTTGGACGAGGGAGGACCCTCTAAGCTTCAAGCTATGGAAAACTGTGAAAAAAAAAACACGAGTCTGTAGATTTGGGCACAGAAAGCTCAACACCACAGGGGCCAGCACTGTGGCTTCTCGGGTAAAGCCACCACCTGCCGTGCCGGCACCCTATACGGGCACAGGTTCAAGTCCTGCTGCTCCACTTCCGATCCAGCTCCCTGCTCATGGCCTGGTAAAGCAGCAGAGGATGGCCCAAGTCCTTGGGCCCCTGCACCCACATGGGAGATCCAGAAGAAGCTCCTGGCTCCGTATCAGCTTAGCTCCGGCCATTGTGGCCATTTGGAGAATGAACCAGTGAATAGAAGATCTCTTTGTCTTTCTCTCTGTGTCTCTCTGTAATTTTGCCTTTCAAAGCAATTAATCAATCTTTAAAGAAAAAAAAGTTCGACAATCAGAGGTCTAAAAAGTGACCAAAATTAATCAGCAAACCACAAATTTGCTTAAAGAAAAAACATTCACAGCATCTGCGCGTATATCAGAGGAAAGGCTAGGAGTTTCGCCTTCACTCCCATGAATAAAGTAGTAAATGAATGGGCAAGAGGGGCCGGCACTGTGGCGCAGCGGGTAAAGCCGCCGCCTACAGTGCCTGCATCCCACATGGGTGCTGGTTCGAGTCTCTGCTGCTCCACTTCTGATCCAACTCCCTGCTGATGGCTGGCTCCTGCCATCGGATCAGCACGGTGCGCCGGCCACAGCAGCCATTGCAGGGTGAACCAACGGCAAAGGAAGACCTTTCTCTCTGTCTCTCTCACTCACTGTCCACTCTGCCTGTCAAAAAAAAAAAAAAAAAAAAAAAAAAGCAAAAAACAAAAGAGATGCTTATCAAGACATGTTTGCAGGAGGTGTATTGGACACAGCTAACAGCCAGCACCAGCAGTCTCAGGGAACTGTGGCATTTGAACAAGCACTCATTGCTTATAGGGGCCAGCATCGTGACACAGAGGGCTAAGCCATTGCTTGCAACACCGGCATCCCATAATGGCACGCCAGTTGGAGTCCCAGCTGCTCCACTTCCGATCCAGCTCCCTGTTAATGTGCCTGGAAAGCAGCAGAAGATGGCCCAAGTACCTGGGCCCCTGCACCTGCGTGGGAGACC